TAAAACAATTTAAAATGAGCCATTTCAAAAAGATTTCAAAGAATTTTTTTTTTGAAGAAATTAAATATTAGTAGATCACATTATTTTTTTTTAAAATATTAAAGTTGTATCAACCTCTCTCTCTTTTTTTTCTTTTTTCTTTTTTTTTCCCAATTTATCAATTTGCAATCAAATGCACTCCATTTTAACAGTAATAGGGATTGTATACAATGGGAGCATTTATATTTTTTAGTTGTCCATATGTCGGGGATTGTGAATATAGCGTTCCAAAATCCTGATATGTACTCCTAATATGTCAGGGATTGTGATCAATAATGTTGTTTTGAGGGTGGAAACTCTTTGTGATGGCATGAAAATTTACTATCATATCTAATTATGAGATTTAAAGCTAAAAAATTAATGCAGATTAAGCAGATCGATAAATAACTAAAATTTTGAAAAAAAAATAGTCCAAATAATACTATACAAAATGTACTATTTATATTACTTGAAAACTCTCTCTCTCTTTTATTATTTATTTATTTATTTATTTTCATATGTATATGTCTCGATGTAGAAATGATCAATTTGAGGGTTTCAAATATGGCAAAAACTTTTTGCGTGGATTATTAAAGTGCGGTTTACTTCTATAAGCTTGGTACCTTACAAAAACATTTTGCATTAATAAATCACACAGTAGGGCCCACTCCACTTCATCAACGTTAGACCAATGATACCCTCGTGGTAAATATGGTTATCAAATGGAAGATGCCACATGTGTCGTAAGCTTTTGGTGCGTGGTCCTAACTTGCTTCATGAGGACCAAATAATATTTCTACTTTTTAGCTTGGAGAAAGACTTTGGACCAAATTGTACATTTGCTTTGTCGGCAAAAACACCATGCGAAGGTTATCTATCTATTGGATTTCAAGGCTTTTAGTCATCTTTATTCATCTCTAAGATTAATAGAAAAAATTGATTTGGATCCCAAAATATACTCCAAATATGGTGCAGATTAAGCTAGAGTCTATTTGTACTTGTAAATCTCGAAAATAGATGGTCTAGATAATGTGTTGTAAAATGCTCTATTTTTAAGACCCGAAATCTATTTTTCTTTCGATATCTATACATTTCGAGGTCGTGATAATCAATTGAAGGGTTTTTGACACCAGAATAATCTTTTTGGGTAAATTTTTGATGTGCACCTTCCTTCTATAATATTAGATTGTCACTATTATAAATTGTTTCCTTCTTCTAGAGCATGTTGTTATACTCTATGCCATCCGTTTTATGTGGACGATATAGATTTATAGGGTGTATCATTTTGATATTTCCTTAAAAGATATCTCTGATTTTCTTCGTCCATCTAAATAAACAGTGTAAAATACTACAACCTTGGTTTTATAATAAAAAAAATTGTATTAACTACGCCCACTATGTAATCTGATTCATATGGTTATGGTAACCACAATGTTTGGTGATCACCTTCTAATTGAAAAAAAGTAGGGCTACATGATTCAATTACGAAATTGTTCTGTGGGGCCTACTCCTCTATATAAAAGCCATCACATTGATTGGACGAGCATACTCTTTCGGTCACATGACTGACTGATGATGCGGACTACAATTAATTCTTGTTACGTGGTCCTAACACTCGTACCATCTCCATGGTTCATGTGGCATGGTCCCCATCACCTCTTTCTCTAAAGTCCTTACATCCTATCCCATCCTTTTCTTTTCTTTTCGAAATTTTAATGGTGGGAATGGAAGGTGAGACGTTATGTCGATGCATCCGTCTTCATAATCACCTGTGCCCCCGCCCCATCCCCATGCTCGTCCCCATTGGTTGTATTTGTCTCCCTTTGGACATTTCAACCGATGGGGCATCCTATATTTCTATCTAAAAAACGGGAAACCCATGGATATCAGTGATTGAAAATCGAGATGCCGATTTAGAGTCATCCGAGCTGGCTTAGACTTGGTAAATCTTGAGTTATGGATGATACCAAATAAGAAAAACACATCAACCTGTAACTGGATGGATCGATATAGAGACTTGGTATGTTTTAGTTTTGGGGTATTTTTCTTGACTTTTTTTTGTTCCTATAGGCGTCTCAGTTATAATTTATAGACTTATTAATGCCACTTAACGGGGGATAAAAAGTAGGGGACTACCATGAAATAAGTGAGACTTTTAGTAGTCCGAAGAACAATTTTCTCAATTGAAAACTAGTCATGTCATATGAAGTAAAAAGATGCAATTCTCCCATGGAGTATGGATGTTGCAATTGGAATGCCCTCCCTACCATCCTATAGAAGGGAGGAGATGTGATGGAGCTACCCAATCGTCATGGCTACCTAATTTTAAGGTGAATACAATATTTTATCTTTGATAAAACCTACCACTAGGTTTTCATCTAAAGTTGTGGTTTGGTCATGCACAAAGCCATCCGGTTTTGATTAGGCGGTTAATAGTTCACGTTACTATTTGAATTTTAATTTTTTATAAGTTCGATTAGGCTGAAATTTTGAGAATATACACATAAAAAAAATATAAAAACAATTCTAAAAACCTACAATAACTAAAATTCCCCCTACAAACATTACAAAGACATTTTGGCTAATTTTTTATATCAGCCTTTTTCTTTCCCCTAGTATGTTATAGTGATAAGCAAACACATTCAAAATTTTAAATCAATTTGATTTGTAAAAAATGAAAAAGATAAAATTCAAATAGTAGCATTTACAATCAACTATTCATTCAAGATTAGACGGCTGAAAGCATAATTAAACACCATACCCTTAAGTCCCTGAGGCAAAAGACCACTTATCACCTTAAGAACACAATATACTTACTACCCTAGGCAAAATACCTTCTTTGGAGGAATATTTTCAACATAAAAATTTGGGATACACATTACGATCACCTTACAAGTATCTTTGAAAAATAAAATTTGAACTTTGATTTTGTAAACACTTAGATGTGATCACCTAAAAATTAGACGTTTTTTTTTATATCTTAGAAGTTGTTTTAGGCAAATAAAAAGCACATAAGAAAATTATTTGTTGATGAGGTCGAGATAGTTATATTTCAAAATTTTAAGTACTAAAAAATAAAGGAAATTTATATAATGAGATTGCTTACTTTTGATACACGGACGTCACAATCATCGTTGATTGTTAGATTTTAAATTGGGCGGTCGAAAAAGTGCCATTGTTTAGGCACAAAGTTAAAAAAAAAATCTATCGGATGTTATGACACTTTAATTTATTGAATTTTATATCCAATAACTAAAAGTGATTGTGACCTCCTTATATGAAAAATAGACAATCTCATTGCATATAATCCCACCTATAAAAGTATCGTAAATAGAGTATCGTAGATAGAGTTTACCCCCTAAGGGAGTAATTTAAAACACGACCAGGTAGAATGCACTTGTTAAAAGAAGAGAGACCCTAATGCTTCCACTTTTCACAAATAAAAGAGAGAGAGATGCTTCCATACAAAAAAACAAGAAAAAAAAAAGAAAAAGGGCATTCTTGAATGTGAGATCACAAGGCCCCCCATGCACCCCATGACCCTTACTTCAACAACAGTGATCAAAAGCACCACATGAAAATCATGACATGAATTTTTTATAATGTTTTTTTTTTTCTTTTTTAAATGTTCACTTAGACTCTGTGAGAATAAAACTCTAGACGTCATGTAGTGCCTAGAGCTCATCCTCGACTTTTTAAGAAATTCTTTCCCCACAATACAAAGCTGAAGCCTTGAGCAGCAAGCCTAGCAACTCATTGGGTGCCGAGAAAAATGGGCTGTGGTCTGTGTCCATGGTCATTACCTCTGTTGGTGGCCAACACTTGATCATCTCCTCTTGTAGCTCTGGCTTCAGTAAATTGTCCTTCAATGTCTTTATATAAACTCGAGGTACCTTGTCAATATCTTTTGTGTGTTCTCCTTCATAGCATGCATTATAGATAGAACCCAATGGCCATGACCTCAAGAGCATAGAAGCTAGGGTTGAGTCCTGTGAATCCCACATTTGGAATGTTATAACAACACGTATTAATGTTAAAGCCAATATTTCAAAACCGGCAATCTGAAATGAGAATTGCTCGATCTAGATTAGAAATTAGTTCGGACCAGATTGGTTCCAAAAAGGAATCCCAGGCTACAAAGATTATGTAGTTTGTTGCATAATGGATGGTCCACAAAATGTGTTATGTGATTGACACTGTCTAGGGTTTCAAGTCCTTCTATGTTTTTTCATGTCCATGATTATCAAGGTTAAGAAAATCTATTCATAACAAGTGGCAAATTGCATTTTCAAGCTATATTTGGGGTGCGGCTTTACCTAAATTGGGAAGGGAAAATATTGTGAAAGGCTGTAGCCCTATCAGAATAAGCCTCACCACAAAACTCATTGAAAATTGTAATTTTAGAGATGGAGAATCTTCAAATCAATCATCCCGACCTTGATCATTATGGTTGTGGAAAAAATTAGGATTTCAAGTCCTAAAAATAGTGTATATTGTAACACATATTTTAGACCATCCATTTCACCCTAAAAATAAGTGCTTATGAATCAACAAGATCTGTATTTTTTGAGCTTAAATTTCATACTCAATGTTGGAAATTTATTATAGAGCATCATGGAGATTTCTGATGCCCAAAGTGCTTTCCGAACAAGAATTCGAGGTAGGGCTTTAATTTATTTGCAGAAAACCTGGGCCATATAGATATTGCATCCATTGGGAAGATTTGTAATTTAAGTGTTGTGCGACACCATTGGCATCACATATGCTGATCATGTGTTATGAAGAATATTTTTGCATGACCATTTTGGATCCACTTGTATTGGGCAATGAGGAAATAATAGTCATGTCAACCAAGTCTTAGTATTTAATATCTGAAAAGCACAAAAGAGATAGTTACAAATTATCAAATGTTTTTTACATGTCATATTGTATAGACAGGGCTGTTAATGGACATGGGCTGGCCCGCTGCTTCCAGGCTGGGTTTGGACCACAACTTAAGGTCTACAGGGGCCTAGCCAGGGCTTAGTATGCCCAAAATATTTCCAAGCGGGGCCTGGGCTAGCACTAGCTTGGCTTGAATTTTTTTTATACATATAATCTTTTTTCCTATATATTTATTCAAGGCCCAGCCTTTTTTTTCGGGCTTTAGCCTGGTTATCATGAATATGGAATGAAGCCGAAAATGAATTTTCAAGCCCGAGTCTAACTTGCATGGTTTCAGGCAGGGCCCTGGTGGGCCTGGCTCATTAACAGCCTTGTGTACAGACAGTGGCTACCCTAAATAAGTCTTCATGACAACTACCATGAAAGAAGTCTTTGCTTCATGGAAACCAAGTATATGAACTAAAAAAAGAAGAAGAAAGAGAGACAAAAAGAACATGCATTTATTTATTTATTTTAAAACAAGAAAATGCATCTAGTCATAAGTACTTGAATTTATTTATTTTTATTTAGTGTAGAAATATTATAAGTCTAAGCTTCAAGTGAAAATGAAAATGCAAATAATTTTACTTCTAATGAATTACCTCATCTGGACTAAGTTGGTATAGAAGTTCTCTTTGTGTCTCTCTACGAAACAATGCGCTCGTAGGTGGCTTATCTGGACCAAGCCCAAAACCAAACTCCCAATGATCACCAAACTGTTCCTGAAATTCACCATTTCAGTTTTAGTAAGAAAGTTTTTTAGATGCATGAAACCATATTTAATGAAATAAAAATAAAAGTTTAAATTCCAGGACATGTTAAGCTCCCTAGTGAAATTAATTAATGATGGGAATGGAGGGTGGGACCTTATGGTGAAGCATCCACCCCTCTAACAACCAATGCCACAATCCCATTCTCAAAATATGCAATAAGGCCGTAAGCCTTTGGTACAAGGTGGTCATAATTATTTCTGACCTATGGATGGCCACATTTACTCTATTGAACAAACTCAAAGTTCAAAAAATATTTTTTTTTCCTCTGATGAGTCGGTGGGGAGAAGACCCTTACTCTTTGTAGGAATTCAGCCTAAGATATAGTGTTACAATCGTCAAGCACTAACCAATTAAGCCCGGGCTGTTTTTTTTTTTTGGGTGAGTTAATGGGGAGAGGGCTCTTACCTTTGGTAGGAGTTGAGCCTAGGACGACGTTACGTTGCAATTCGTTAAGCGCTAACCAATTAAGCTCGAGCTCTACAAAAACAATTTTTTTGAACTTTGTGACACTCAAGTTATCAGATGTCACATCAAATAGTTATGAATGATGTAACCTCTTTGTATCAAAAGTAAATGGTCCAATTGTATGCAATTCCGTGAGCCAATAAAATGTCCAAAACCTCAGGTTGTACTTGGGCCAGCCCTAGCATGGTCTTGCCCTAAATAACGGCCTGTACTAGAATAAAATGGGAAAGAGCCAGCCCCGATCTAATCTTTTATATCCGTTTTCTGAACTTGATTAGATTTCAAAACCCAGATGAGGGTATGGATAGACATGATATTTAGAAAGTAAGAAAATAAAAATAAAAATAGTGGTTTTATGAGGTGGACATTTAAAAGGGAGCTAAAAAAATATTACACAAGCTTATATAAAAAAAAAAAACACGAAAAAAATATTTAAGGGATGTCTTAGTAGGGAAACGAGCCACGACCCATACCATCCCAATACCGGTTCGGTCTCAACTGATTTCTATCCAGATAGAAAATCGCTGGATTTTAAAACACTGATCAGAATAGATCACAATGGGTCATACAAAAAAATCAAATTTACCTTGTCATCAGAGTCTAAGCCTTTGTGCACTACAGCAGTAAGATATACTGCGAGACTTATTTTCTTCCCAAACAAGTGAAGGGCATAACCCAGGCTCAGCCCACCTGCACTGTGAGCCACCAAAACAACCTGCAAAACACAAACTAAGCTCATGAATTCATCAGACGGAAGGCTAGATCAGCTTCTTTGAGCTATTTTTAACAAACCCTAGAGGATTCTCTAACAGTGTTTTAAAACTCGGGCGAGACCAGTAGCTTGAGACTTTCGGTATCGGCAAGATGCAAACTCCGAGCAGGAACCGGTCATATTCGACCAGTTCCTTTATTTTGGCACGGCAACTTGTACAGATTTGGCCAACTTAGTGACAATTATTGTTATCAGGATATTATCGACAGGTTTTAGCAGGATGTTCTCGCGTGGGTCCTTTTGTCAAAACTTTATCTGGAATTTAAAATATTATAAAATTAATAAGGAAAATATTAATAACAAGGAAAGGGAATTCATCAATTTAAAACATTATAATATATATTTTTACAAAATTATTGAGGAAAATATTATTATCATGGAAAATGTCAATAAATATAATAATTTATCTCTCCCAAAAGAAATAAAAATTTTATAACTAAAAAAATTGATATTTTAGATGGCTAGAGTTCCATATTCAGCATTCACCATAAAAAAAAAAAAAGGAATTTGTTTTCAAATTTTAACTAATCCTCTTTCTTCATGTATTCTTACTACAAAAGAAGGAACAAAATTTCAAATTTTAAATATAATTTTATTAGAATTGCAGCTTATAAATTACAACCAATACCATTAATCCACATTGATAATGATTTTTTTTCAAGCAAGTTGGTGGTTTGAATTAATATCATTATTCTCACTGGAATTAATCACCATGATAGTTTTGAAAATATAAATTTTATCATAATAATTTCAATTTATAGGGATAATATCGCAAATAATATCAGTATTATAAAATACCACGATAAAAAAACCCACCAAATTTAAATTAGTCGGCCGAGTCACATGCATACTCAGCAAAATCTGCATGGATGACTCGGACTTAAAGAACCTGCGACGTCTCTAATCCGAGCGTTGGTTTTGAACCATGATTTGGACCCTTGACTTCCCTCACCCAAAATGATGTTACCAAGCTGAAAGTAAAAGAGAGTGGATTAAAATTTAAGTGAATAAAAATTTTCTCTCTCTGTAACTTTTCATCATCTGGGATTGTTGAGATGAGATCGATAAGGGGCTTGTTGTGCTCTTCAGAGGAGGAGATGGAGTCTGCATCTCTTGGATCAATTCCTGCACCAGCAAGGTCCACCGCTGAGACCTTATGGCCTTTATTCCTCAAAAGTGAAACAATTTTATGCCAACACCAAGCACCATGGCACGCCCCAGGAACTAGAACAAAGTGTAGAATCCCTGGATTTTTCTCCCATGACATTTTCCTATCAATTATTCCTTCTAACACAAAAGTAGAGAGAGAGAGAGAGAGAGAGGTGACACAATTTAAGTTGTATGAGTTTATATACTCGTAGGGCATGTTTTATAAACTGGGATTTATTGGTTTGGACTACTGTTTTCTATTTCTTATAACAATTCCTCGTCTGTAGACGATTCTCTCCTCTCTCTCTTTTTACTTCTTTCTCTTTCTCTAGACATTTCCCGAGTTCTCCCTTCCTATAAATACATGGACATGAGAAATATATTCAAATTGATCATCTCGACCTCAAAATAGGCATGAGAAATTAAGGATTTCAAGTTTTGAAAATAATGCATATTATAATGTATTTTTGGACAGTCAATTTTCAAAATTTTTAAGTTTCAATAAATCTGTTAGATCTATGTTATTTTTAAAGCTTTAAATTTTATAATTAAATATACAAATATAATTTAAAGCTTTCACAAAAAATTTAAGTATTAAAACCACATTTCTCAACATTATTTTATTTGAATGTGCGCATTACTTTACAAACCGCACCCTGTGATAACAAATTAATATGAACGACTGCGTGGCAAAACTATTAGACATCCAATCTTAATTCATTGTAGACCATTCGTAGATAATGAATGAGTGGCCTGCTATGGTGGAAAGGATCCGGGTTTGAACAATATGTCACATACTATGTGCCGGGTCCTAACAAAATTCCAAAGAATGAGGTTGGTCAAAGGCTACGAATGGGCCAGGTGGCCCGGTCCGCCCAGCTCTGAAAAAGTTTGCGCATGCACCACAAAAAGTGGCCCGGCCAGCAGGGCCTTGTCCTGGGCAATGTTAGGGCCAGCCTAACCCAACCCCTTATTATTATTATTATTATTTTCCTTTTGGTATATTAGGTTCGGTTGGGCTAGGCAAATTAGCCGATCTCTATTAATTGAGAAAAGACTAAAATGATGATGATGATATTAGGTCCAGTTGAGCTGGGTCCAAAGCTTATCCAACTCATTGGTTGCCCTATTTTTGGCCTTTTTATGCCTTTGAACGGGCTTAGATCTGAACATCACTCCAAATCATGAATTAATTATGAAAGATTGTCTATAAAGAGAACATTTATCTTTTGTACATGGAGGTCACCATCATTTCTATTCATTAGATATCAAATTGAATGGTTTGAGAGAGTCACAAAGTCCGAAAACATTTTTTTTAGAAACATTGTGTCTATCCTATGATACTCTTATAATCACCCATTTTGAAATTTAAAGGACAATAATGATTGTCACCACCATGTACAAAATGATAAAATGATTGTCTATTAAAAAATCATTTATCTTTTGTACATGGAAGTCACAATCAGGAGTATAAACACATTTTCAAGTGACCATAAGAAATTTCAACACTGAAACTGCTTCTTCGAGCAAAATTTAGAAGTGTGTCGTACTTCGACTATAACGTGGGCATTTATAGTATAAGTTCCTTTTTCTCATTTCTAAGTAATTTGGTGGTATGAATCGAACTTGGATATGATGTTGCAATTATCAATAGCTAAAAAAATCAAGCACAATCCAAATTTTGAGAAAAAGAGAGTTTTGCATTCGGGGAATCACGTCCTCCGGACAGGTTTGGTATAGAAGTTCCTGTGGCGTTTCAAGATGGAAAACAAAAGTCCCAAACCATTCTAGTATCATCAGTGAACACTGGAAGACACTGAAGTCAATAATTATAAGTCATGCATGAGCCCATAAAAGACTCAAAAGTTGCTTTAAAAATATAACACCTTTTAGAAACAAAGAGAACACAAAAAAAACAAAAGAGGTTATAAAACATCATTAAAGGTCTACAAAAGATATTAAAACTGTATATAACATGGAATATGGATAAATTTGATTTACAGCTCGAAATAATTAAAAGAACCCAAAATAAAATTAAAAAATAGAGCGTATAATTAGAAAAATCCACAAATCAGCATCAAAACTAAATCTAATTGAAGATAATTTATTAGTGATTATTAATAAATATATGATTTTTTAAGACTTTTCAACCTATGCTAATTTATACCTTGGCTGAGTAACTCCGAATCGACTTGATCAAGTTTTAGTTTAAATCACTGAGCAAAACTTTAAAAAAAAAAAAAAAAAAATACATACTTAGAAGCCTTATTTTACATTAGTGGTCAAATTCATCCCATGGTCCTTCCTGCACTTTCTTTGCCACAATATACAGAAGAAGCTTGGAGCAACAAGGCCGATAATTCATTGGTTGCAGAGAAGAATGGGCTGTGGTCGGATTCAATAACCATCACCTCCTCCGGAGGCCCGTGCTTAATTACCTCCTGTATCTCTGGCACGAGTACCTTATCTTTTTTCATTTTTATATAAACTTGGGTCACCTTGTCGAATTCCCCTTCAAAATGTGTACTTTGAAAGTCCATCGTAGGCGCCGGCCTCAAAAGCATCGAAGTTAGGGTTGAATCCTGCAGATCCCGCACTCGAAATATTTGACCCACGCACATGAAAAATTGAATTTATAGACAGCTTTTGTGTTTTAAATATTGGAAAATTATGAGCCAGAGTTATGGAAATTTGGATTGGTGGGAAGAATTTGTATGTTAAACATTGGAAATTTATAGTCAGAGACATAAGAAAGATTGGAATGACAGGTAAAGTGTGTATTTAAACATGGGGTGAGGTTTGTATAAGGTGTCAACTTTATACTATTGAACTAAAGTGTGCCTCAAAACTATGTCGAAAATGTAGTTTCAATGATGCGATGCAAAGCCTTGTGATGATATGAGAATCTATTTTTGCCCCAAGTAGATCTATAAGCACTTGATAATCTTGAAAATGGACTGCCTAGATAATGTATTAGAAGATGAACTATTTTTAGGACTAAAGATCCATTTTTTCTTCATGTCTATGATTCACGAGGTCGAGATGATCGATTTGTAGGTTTTCCAGCATAAAAATATCCGTCATTAGTGGGGTTTTTGGGTGCTCCTCCATATCTTTGGGAAATGGCGGAACAAATTTGCGACAATTTTCTTTTCAGTAGGTCGGAAATTTCTTCCGACAATAGGACACTTTTGCTGCAATTGTTAACACTTTAACAATCAAGCCAATTGCCCATATACAACATTACCTGTTAAAAGCATCAGAAAGCATACCCCTAATTTGGATGCCAATTAACATCTTGGTTTGCAATGCTATAAAATCTGATGATTTCCAATCTAGATCACCAATTCATAAGGGTATCGATATGGGACAAACCGGTTCTCAGATTGCATAGGTCCCGGTCTTTCCTTTTTCATTATTTTTCTTCCTTTCTTTTTTTTAAGATTGTCTAGTGAATTCGTAGGTCGTGTTAAATCCCCACCATATAAATCCCTATTTTAATTTATATTTTATTTTATTTATTTTTAATATTTTTTAGACTGATTCAAATATTGACCTATCTCACACAGACTAGAATGTCTATTACTAAGCTGAAGCTGCTCTAATCTTTACTTGGTTAAATACAAATCAAGACTATCGAAAAAAATGAAAGAAAAGTGAAACTCATAGATTTGGACAGCCACTACTGTATGTTAGACTTTTTTTATTTTGAGCTTAATAAATTCAAAAAATTGCACATACATACGCATCATCTAAAAGCTCTTAAAAAACATCCATAAAAAAATTGTGGGTCAATACGTGTCCACCATTTCTAAAAATAATAATTAAATCTCTAGTATGGGCTATATGGCATAAAGTGCTAAATAGACCGGCGAGTCATAGAATCGTTATGCTATTATATTTATAGCATGTACGTAATTAATATATTATAGAAGGATTAGGATTCTATAAGGTTTAAGATTTTTAAAATCAAAATAAAGCCTCTTCTCAAATCTTCATCTAGAAAGCATTTTCTCCGATAGAAATCTCCATGATGGCTTAAAATTAATTTCTGTCACCAAATATAAAATAGGAAAACTCAAAAAATGGTACAGATCTTGTGGATCTATGAGCACCTTTTTTTTAGGGTGAAATGGACGATCTAGATAATTTGTTGCAATATACACTATTTTAGAACTTAAAATCCTATTTTTTTCACAACCATAATATTCAAACCAAGATGATTGATTTAAAAGTTTTCTGATGCTTGGATTGCAATTTTCAATGAGTTATAAGGTGAAGCTTTACTTGTTTTGATAGGGCTATAGCCCTGTCAATCCAGGCTAACCAACATAGGGGACCAAACCTTACCTTTTATATATATGAGAAACTTTAGGAATCTTATCCTTTACGATTAGAATAGCATGTCCAAAATTTGATTCTTGCATAACTACTCAAGAGAGTTAAAAGAGAAAAAATATATCATTAAATACTTTCATTGCACATAAAAATTAATAAAAAGGAAATTTACAGATAAATCTCGTTTTATTTTTATAGTTAAAAGTAGTCTTATAATTTTTATATTTTACAATCTAGTCCTCTTTTTTAGAACATAAAGTGTGTATTAGTTTTATTTATTTTTCTAGGATTAAGCTTAAGCTTGGTATATCCATACTTGAAACTAAGGTTTAAAAAATTGGATCAGTGATCCAGATAGGCTACATTAAAAATCATGTCAAATCGGTGGACTGGTGATCTAGATCGGCCAGTTTTTGGCTTCAAAAATTCAAAAAACACTAAAAATCCCTAATAATAGTGTTGTTTGAGTTTCGAAAAAAGTTTGGGGTCGTTATATTATGTAATTTTGTTATTTTACAAAAATATGTGAATTTTAAGATGTTTTTTCCCTTGTATGGATGTTTGTATAATAAGTAATTATGACTTTTGAAATTTGAAATAAGACTAGGATAAAAACTAGTAACACAATGACTAGACAAGATTTTAATGAAGTTTAAAGAGTTCATGTCCTTCCTTATTTCAAAAGAACAACTTGGAGAAATAAGGGGAAAGTCAAGGTTTGACCCACGTTTGGTTAGTGGTGTTTTTTCCACAAATGAATATATCATTCTAGATTTGTTGGGACATAGGAAGGTGGCAAAGTAAGTGAGAGAGTGTGTGTTATTTTCTTGTAGGTATAGAGATAAAACGACCTTTAGGAAAAGGGCTAGGGTTGTGGTGGTTGCATCCCCACATCCAATTACTACATTGTGATATCCATTCCTACTTAACACTTTCAAAATGTAACTCTCCTTTCTATCGAAAAAATAAGTAGGGGCTCTTAGGGTATGGATATCCCATGTTAGTATTGACATACATCATTATTGATACATATCAATATGGATATCCATATTAATATGTATCAGTATATCAATACTAACATGAAATATCCATACCCTAACAGCCCCCTATCTCCTTCCTGAATTACCCAAAAAAATTAGAGACAAAGGACACTATTAAAACTATTATTATGCACAAAGAAAGAGAGAGAGGAGAGAGTGTGTTTTTTCTTTTCAAAATCATGATAAAGCTTTGTCTTATTGTTTTTTTTTCCAAAATACAGCCATAACGCCTCTCATTTCTGGTATTTTTTAAGTTGGAATTGGATAATTTTTTTCCAAATTCCTCAAAGTTTAGTCAATTTGGGATGATTTTATAAGAACCATGAACTTGTATATTTATCCTACAACAGGCAAAGAAAAACTAGTGCCAAAAATTGAGATCATTGAATGCAACCCAATAATAGAGATGGTGTTTCATATGCGAGAATTGAGATCATTGAATGTGACCCAATAATAGAGTTAATTTTTTAGCATGCAAATCATTCGGAAAAGGCCACACTCAATCCTTATTTGGGCGTGTGAGTTAAAAGGTGGGCCACAATGAGTTTAATGAGTTGTCCCTCGTTAATGCATGTAATTTTTTTTTTAGATTAAAAATACCTGTTGTTATCCTTTTTTAAAAAATAAATAAATAAATAAAATTTTAAAGTGCGCTCCAAACCGGTTATAATATATTTAAATAATAAAAAGAAGCTGATGTGGAACCCCTAGGCTCCTTCCCACTTAGATAACCTCAATCCTCTCCAATATTAATACACTGTCTATCATAGTAGTAACCAACTTCATCCCCTAACTCTTCACTGAGTTTCTTAGGTTAACTTCAACAAATAAAAAACGAAAACACAAAACTCTTGATTGAGTTTCTTAGCCACAATACACAGTGGAGGCCTTAACCAACAAGTTGTGCAACTCATTGGGAGCAGAGAAGAATGGACTATGGTCAGTGTCAATGCACATGACCTCATTTGGTGGCCATCTTTTGATCATCAGTTCTTGATGTTCATTTGGCTTCAAGGCCTGGTCTTTGGTCATCTTTAAATAAACACGGTTCACCTTATCAATGTCCCCTGAATTGTCCTCAAATTTTGCACTGAATACAGCTGTTGGACCTGGCCTCAAAAGCATGGAAGCTAAGGTGAAGTCCTGTGGATTACATAGAAAATTAATGTTCTGAATAGATAATAGTGATTGTTATAGCCAAGGGTGTGGTCTAAATAAGGTGTCAATCTCAAACACTAAAAGTATAGCACACCTTCAAATTTTGCCAAAAATTATATAGTTTTCGTGTCGAAAATCTTTATAATAACCTGAAAATCTATTTCCACACATAATAACGCTGCAAAATGGTACAAATTTGAGTACTTAAAGATATTGAAAATGGATAGTCTAGACAATATGTCACAAGAGGTACTATTTTTAGGACTTGACATATATTGTTTTCATATCTATACATCTCAAGGTCAAAATGATCAATTAGAAGGTTTTCTAACATTGAAACAACCTTTTCCAGTGAGTTTTTGTGGCGAGTTTTACTTCTATAGTATAAGGTTGACGTCTTATATAAACATTTTCCTGCACATTATAGTAGGCATAACAAGTATGTGTAGCCTACTCCGTTCAGAGCATAGTATACACTTACTCCATCGATCAAAGATTTAAAAATCGTTTCTTGATCTTAAATTCTTGTATACAATGTATATCACTGTATCGGTATTTTCCAAGAAGCAAAGTAGATTGTAAGTTCCCAAACACTAAAATGAGAGATTGGTGAAGTAAATTAGCACGGGCAAAGATTAGAAACTGCTATTCATTGATAGGAAAGTACTTGTGATGGGGATTGTCAACAAAGATACCTTTATTTATTATACATGAAGGTTATAATTATTTGTGTATCATAAATTTCAAAATGGGTAATTGTAATAGTGTCATTGAATAGACACAAAAATCTAAAAAACAAATTCTCCGACTTTGTGACCCACCCCAAGTCATCTAATTTGACATCTAATGAGTAAAAATGTTTGTGACCTCCATGTACAAAAGATAAATGATCTCTTTGTACTTGTAGACAATCCCCTCATAATATAATAGATCTAGCACCAAATCTCAACTTATGGACCAATTGAGAGTTTGGGGCCCTATGCTTCTCTTAACTCTCCTACATAGAAATAAATGGATAAAATGAATAAGGGTGTGGTTTCCATAGGGCTATGGCTTTTATAATATTCAATCCTAAAAATTCCATAGGAAAATACAATTGTACCCCTGAAAACCTCTTTCATATAACATGTAAATTCAACTCAACGCTTTATTATGAAATTTGATGCTCCAAAAACAATTATGAAATTTGATGCTCCAAAAACAATTTACATGTAGCATGTGAACATTTGAATTGAACTGCCCAAAAGAGCAAGTCACAAGACAAAACCAATTTTAAGACCTAAAATATCTTTTTTGTGTATGTGTGTGTGATTATAAAAGTCAAGATGATCCATTTGCAAGTCTTCCACCATCAAAACGACATTTACCGGCAATATTTGAGGTACGACACATAACTATTAATTTTTTAACAAGTCATAATTTCAACTTGAAATTAATACAATAGGAAGAAAGTTGATTCTAAGGCATTACCTCATCTGGGCTGCATTGAGAAAGAAGTTTTCGTTGCAATTCAGGCTTAAAAATGCCACTTGTAGGAGGCTGATCCAGCCCAAGCCCATAGTTGTAGTCAAACAAATCAGCAAGGTTTGGAATAGACTGGTATTAAATACAATTCACAATTTAATTAGCACATCACAACATGATTAAAATTAAAATCAGCAAGATACGTGCATTCCATGATAAATATCACCAAAAGTAGGGTGATTGAGCATGTATAGTTTACTGATATGGGAGCATGTTGTACACTTACTCCATCGGGCTGAAGGCTTGCTTTGAAATAATCTTTCCGATCCCAAATCGAGAACCACCTAAAAATCTCTAGATGACTATATTCAAAAAATATAAATCTAGATTTTAAAATTTTGGCAACCTAATGGCAAGTGGGTTGCAACACACATGCCAGTTAGCTATTGTTGCAAGATTATAAAGCATTAAGATTATAATGCAGCACACATGCCATTAGGTAGATTATAAAGCATCTCTTCCCATTAAGAGCATCTTGCAAACAAAGACCACTACTTAATGGCATGTGTGTTGCAAGATGCTCTTACAGAAAGATAAATGCATAGTTATTATTAAAAAATTTAATTAAAATAATTTCCATTTTTTTATCTTTAAGACTATGATTTTTATAGTAGAATAATTTTTATTTATAATTTTTTTATATTTTTACTTTATCATTGAATTTAAATAACAAAACAAGGAATTACTTAAGCAAAGAGATTTGGGAACAAGAGAGAGAGGGAAAAAAAGCAAGAGATTGGAAAACAAAAGTGTAAGGACAAAATTTTTAGAAGTCTCACTCTATTTATTCTCCCATTTATATAGATAAATAGTAAGGAATATGTGTTGTAAAAAGTTTAGAAGTCACACTCTTATTTATTCATTTTATTCATTATTAGCCTCATCTAAATGCTAGTACATCTTGCGTCATCCATTTGAATCAGAATCAGACAGTTCACATGAGACCACGGCCATATAATAACTACACCCATTATAAATAGAAAACAATTATTCACTCATATGCTCTCTATCCTCACCGACATGTGGTAGTAATGGGCAAAAAAAACCTTTCTTCCCACCCATATTTAAGGTGGAAATAGCAAAAACATGAGTGTAAAATAGAAATTATAGAAATTGAGTGTCTACTGGACCATACATATAGTTACCTAGATTATCATAGGCTTGCCAAAGTTTTTACTGCATAATTTCCATATTTTGTGAGAAGATGCTAAAATTCATGAACTCGATTATGCTAAAATTCCTTGAACTTAATCACCGATGAAAGATTCATGAATACTTAGACGGGACAGTATGGCGTGCACATCATCTAGATGCCTAAAGAGCGCATAAAAGTATTTTTATTTTTTATTTAAAAATTTATCTTTAATTATTTGATTATTTATATAAGACGTAACAAATAAAAATAACATTTTGAACAAAAAAAACAAATGAATCTACATCTAATATATCGTGGGGTATTTTAGCTAATTCTTTTTTTTTTTATTGTATCTTATAAAAATAAATCTATATCCTAAATTTAAACTAAAAAATAATTTTTAATTAAAACAAAAACAATATAATTTATTGGCTGTTTGATGACATGGTTCAATCACAAACCTTGCTTTGCCCGTCATATCATATATATGAGACAAAAACTCACCTCATTTCTTAAATGACAAAAAACGCCTAGTCGATTTGGAATTCCTAAATGCATGAAATAAATCACAAAATATTCATATTACCCCTCACCTGCCTATATTACCAAAGTACTCTCATTGCCTAAGGGAAATATTAAAAGGGCGAGTGGCTCAATTTTCCAAATTTATATTTAGCTATAATTTTTATGGGATTATACAAAATGAAAATCGCAGACAGCTCAAGCCGTTAGTTGCATAACAAAGAGAAGTTAATCCTCTAAATAAAATCTAAAGAAAATTTCTCAAACTTTGAACAACCAATATTAACTCTTGCCGCCTGATTTCACGTCCAAACGACTGTAGTAAAAGTAGATGATCATGATGTATGGTTTTTTTTTTTCTTTTCTGTTTGACCCTGGATTCCATGATCAACTACTTTAGTCACCACTATGTCCTCCTCCTTTCCTCTTAATTTCAAATTAGCTTGAGCAAATTACCAAAGTAATATCGCTTTCCTCTCAATCACCACAAAAATTATAACATTACTTGACTATAAATATTGAGTAGATTAAGGGAACAAACCATAACCCAGTAAAAACCCTAGTAGCATCAATTAGTACACGGAAAGATTAATAATAAAAGGGATACAAACATATATATATATATATACAAATAAAAATAAGGACATGGTTTCTATATTGTTTAAATATAATTTGATCTTAATTTTAGTGTATGCATAATCTTTAATATGAAGATCATGAATATGAAACAAAAAATGAAAACACGGGATAATAATTATTATTAAGAAAACATGTGGACCTTTAGTTACAAGAGTGTTTAGATGGACCACATATTTGCATCCATCTTTAAGATGGTTTAAGATGGATGCTTTACACCTTTGGATCACATATTGTAGAAATGCGGTACAGCTCGCATGAAAAAATTTTCATCAAAATAATGATAATAATAATAATGACAATGATAAGCTTGTCAATTGGTTTGTGAGAGCCAGCCTCAAAGCCCCATACTATGCCTCATCAGGAACAATTTTTGTGGTAGTCAAAAAATAGGCCGAGCTTGGGTTAGGTCTCTCCCGTGTTGGGCCCGGCCGTCGGCAACCTTAACAATAATAATAATAAGAATAATAACAACAACGACTACAATATATTGATATGTTAAATCAAATCAAAATTTAATGAACAATAATGAAGAGGCTATATTGAATGTAAAAACAATGAGAGATAAAAGCTTACTTGAAGATCTTCATCAGTCATAAAGCCGTTTCTCAACATGATGGCAGCGATGTGTATACAAAGGCTTATTTTCCTCTTCCCAAACACACGAGTGGCATGGATTAAGCTCAACCCACCAGCACTATGCCCAACCAATATTACCTTCCACATCAAATGAATAAATAAATAAGAATAAAAATTCCTCTATGGAGAGATTAAAATACCACTAAAAGGAAAATAAAAAAATATATTTTCAATTTACATGGTGGAGCTGTCCCATTTGAATACCATTCTCTGTCTCTCTCTAACAACCATTTGAGACTCAAAAGCTTCTCTCTCTCATACAGGCACACGCACCTTTTCATCCTCAGGGATTGCAGAGAGGAGATCGATGAGGGGCTTATTGTACTCGTCGAATTGAAGAATGGAATTGGAATTTCCGGGATCTATTCCTGCACCACCCAGGTCGACTGCGGTTACTTTGAAGCCGGAATTCTTCAAGAGAGAGGCAGTTTTATACCAACACCAAGCCCCATGACAGAACCCATGGACTAGAACAAAGTGTCGAGTCGCCGGAACTTCACCCATGAGAGATTTTCCGGCAATAAATTCAGGCCAATCTTAAAAACAAATGACTGAATGTGGGAATTGAGAATGAGAGAGAGAGGGAGAGGTGCCTCACGTTTATGAATTTGATTATATGGTAGGCGCCTCACGTTACTGTGTCCGCTTTACCAGTGGAGTTGTACCTTACATGTCAAATTAAGGAATAGGGGGCGTGGTAGCATCCTCAGTTACGGCATTCTAGTTTTCAATCTACTGGGCTGCCTACTCACTGCTTGAAAAACACGCAACCCAAAAATATACAAAAGACATCTAAATATATATATTATCAATATAACTTACCCCCACCCAAGGTTTTGTCTTATTGTTTTTCCCCACAGCAACCTTTTCTCACAAATAAACAGCATGAAATAAGATTAAACTACCTTTGTTTGTTTTCACATGACCTTCTCTCTTCTATTTTCACATGCGCTTCGGCATTCTGAATGTGTGCTTCGGCAATACAGGTTTGAGTTACAGTATTTTGGCATTGTGAAAACTCGATCCGGTGGTGTAAAGACGTGCTCCGGCATTGCGCTCTAGCAATGAAGTTTCTGGAGCCACAGTGCTTCGGCATTGAAGGACCGTGCTCCGGCAGTATAAACAAGCGCTCCTGCATTCTGAATGTGCGCTCCGGCATTCTGTGTCTAAGCCACAGCTCTCCGACATTATGATAACGCGCTCCGACAGTACAAAGACGCACTCCAGCAATACGCTACTTGGGACCCACGAATTGATTTGGTTTGTACGGGAAGGGCATTTTTGTTCAAAAAAATAACAACTTTTTACCTTGGGAGGTTTTTGCGAGAAAATGTTGTTTTGGAAAAAAAAGTGAGGGAAAAAATTGGGGTGGGGTAAGTTGCATAGATAGTCCATTATGTTTTTTGTAATTTTTCAAACGGAGTAACCCAAACAGTTTCCAATATACTGACACCACCCACTAACACATATAGAAAAGCTAACTGCCTACTCTATTTTGAAACAAAAAAAAGACGAATAACAAGTAGGGGCTTGTCTTCCCCACTGAATTACAAAATTTAAAAAAAACACAGTCAAAGATGCGAAAATGAGCACAATCAACTTTGTCATAAAATTTAAAAAATAAAAGGATTCGCCTTCTATGATGCCAAGGCTTTATGAAAAACAAGTAAAGCCACACCTAAAATCCACGTCCACTTTGGGCATATGAAATCTCCATTATAGCTCTAAAAATCAATTTCTAACACCGACTATGAAATTTGAAGCTTAAAAAATGGTATAAATCTTGCAGATCTATAAATATTATTTTTATAACAAAATAAATGGTCTAGATAATGTGTTGTAATTAGTAGTTTAAAAAACAGATCGGTGCCCCGGAACGGGCACCCAAAAACCCATCTGGATCGATGAATCAGTAATTGGCCGGATTCGACCTTAAAAAAATTCAAAAAATCATTATAAATGTTATTTTTTAAGAATCAATAAGAAATGAGGGTACTACATTAATAACTTCTATTTTTTTACATCAATAAATGAATATTGAGATATTCTTTCTCTCTATGAAGATTCTCATCAAACATTTATTAAAACCTAACTAAATACAATATTATATATTGAAATTAGAATTATTGGTTTGTATTTTATTATTTTATCATCATTTTACTATACAAATAAAAATAAATTTGAAAATTGTCTTATAATATCATCTAATTTAAAATTTTAATTTACAACTATAACAAAAAATAATACATTGCATAATTTATAATATAAATAAATTAACAAGATTTGATTATCATTGTAATTAGTATAATTATTAATTACAATATTATAATAAACATGATTCAAAAAATAAAGGCATGAACCTCACAAATAAATTAATCTAATGTATAATAGTTAGTGTTGATAGAAATATAGATATTTTAATATTAAAAAAATAAATAAAAAAATTCATATTTTCAATGTGATAATAAAGCAACTTGAAATAAATTTCCACATCGAATAGTCCCACATCAAAGTTATATGCATGTTACAAGACAAACCCATTGTTTTAAACATCCCTTTAATTTAGGGACAGCGAATGGTCCCACATCGATAAATTTGTTCTGCATGCTAGCCATAAAATGGGTAAACCAACTCTGAAGTTTTGACGATTTTTTTTATTTGAAATATCCTCTCACACCACGTGGGTACACCTCATGCACGTCAAGCTTTTGCTTTGTAGCCATGTTAAAGCGCTTTTACATTTGACTTTGCCTTCTAAAAAGTTTTGATGTGGGACTATTCGTTGTCCTTAAAGTAAATGGAGGTTTAAAACAATGGGCTTGTCTTGTAGCGTGCACATGACTTCGATGTGGGACTATTCGATATGGGGATTATTTCAAGTTACTTTATCAATTATCTCACATTGTAAATATGAATTTTTTTATTTATTTTTTTAATTTTATTAAAAAATGATTGTAAATTTATGTTACTAAATGCTATATTTCTATCGACACTAATTATTATACATTAGATTTATTTATTTGTGAGGTTCATACCCTTGTTTTTTGAATCATGTTTATTATAATATTATAATTAATAATTATACTATTTATAATGATAATCAAATCTTATTAATTTATTTACAATATAAATTATGCAATGTATTATTTTGTGTTATAGTTGTGAAATTAAAATTTTAAATTAGATGATATTGTAAGACAAATTTCAAATTTATTCTTATTTGTATAATAAAATGATAATAAAATAATAAAATACAAACCAATAATTCTAATTTCAATGTATAATATTGTATTTAATTAGGTTTTAATAAATGTTTGATGATAATCTTCATACAGAAAAAGAACATCTCAATATTCGTATATTGATGCAAAAAATTAGAAGTTAATAATATAGTACTATTATTTCTTATTGGATTCATAAAAAACAATATTTATAATGATTTTTAATAACCTTTTGAATTTTTTTAAGGCCGAATCCAATCAATTCGGCCGATTCACCGATCCGGATGGGTTTTTAGGGTATCCGATCTGAAGCACCGATCCGTTTTTTAAACCATTGGGTGTACCCACATGGTGTGTAAGGATTTTTCAAATAAAAAAAAAACAATGTGGTGTCCCGACGTAGTGTGGCATGCTATACTTGAGGATTTTTCAAATAAAAAAAAATCAAATTTACAGAGTTGGGGACGTGTTCAATATGTAACGTTACACTCGGCGATTCATGCGATCCATGATGTCATTTTTATCGAATCTCAGTAAAAAAAAAGGCTGAATCCCGTTTTATGGCCGGATCCAAAAAGTTGGATAGATTACATCTGAGATTATTTTATGAGTTGCGGAGATTACATCTCCGCAGTTTAAGACCTAAAAAATATCCCTGTTGACCCGAGGGAATAAATGGATAGTACAATCCTGGGGAAGTAGAAATTATTGGTTAAAAAAATGGAGAGAGAACCGAAAAAATTAGGACATGGCATGGAGTGCCACAAAGATGATAATTCGGAAATTAGGAAAATGCTTGTTCATTTCTTGCAAATACCAAAATGCATGAAATGTTGAAGATAGATGTGCCTTATTTTAACCCAAATTTGCCACATTTTAAACATGCGAAACATATTTCTTAGTAAACAATGATAACAGAGAAATAAAAGCAAGCACAAATGGTGTAAATATAAATTGTTTGGAATTATTTAATTCTTTAACATTGAATGCATCTTTCCAACATGACATCTAACCTTGTATTTTTATTTTCCGTATAAATAAACTTGGGCCATGCTATCCCTTGTAGTGGCACACCTAATAAAACAATAAAATATATTTATGATACAACAAAGGACCAAATACCCATTCAAGTTATATGGCTATTTTGGTTATTTTTATTTTTCATCGGTATTTTTTATTTGTTTATTAAATATGCTCAAATAAAAATAAGACATAAACCCAAATTTTATATCAAGATAATTTATAAATAAAAAAATATATTATAATACTCTGAGTTATCAAATCAAAATCAAACACTCAAAAGTTAACTTACGCTATTACGACTAAAATATCATACCTATCCATTTGAATAAGATGGTGATGGACAATAGTTTCACATATACTTTAAACGTGGCGAAGCCACAGCCATAATCATCGAGACTCTAACTTATGGATTACAATCTCTCTTTCCTTGACTAAGAACATATGGGCCACCCATTAAAAAAAAAATTTTTATTACCCAATTTATTGTCCCTAGCTAACTCTTCTTCCATTTATTCTCTCTTCAACTCTTATTATGGTAAGAAAGCCTTTTTGCCTAAGTAAGTCTCCGTTTAAAATATAATTTTATAAAAAAATTTAATATTTTAAAATCCATTAAGAATGAAAGATCTTCAAAAAAATATTTTTTTTAATAAAACCGATATAAATTTATATTTTATGTTTTTCAAAAAAAAACCTTTTTAAAAAAACTTCTTCCCTACGATTTTATTTCTTCAACTTAATATTTATTGAATTTTAGCGGTAGTAAATTAAGAATCTTGATTTAATAAAAATTTCCATCAAAAATTTCATCAATGAGTTCCCTTAAAAGGGCAAATTTTATATGTTTCCCCTACAGCATAGTAGTTCTATCCACCCACTTATCCAACCATCCATTTTGAATGGAGAGCCACAATCACAATCTCACGTCTCTACACTATTTTATTTTTATTTATTTTTCTATAAACTATTTTGACACCAAATTTTGGACTTCCATTCTTCTATTAAACTCACACTGGCGAAATATATATATATATATATATATATATTTTCAAATAAAA